GGTCTGGCCTAGCCTTCTGCTTTTTCTCTTTTTTGTCGTGGTAGGCACGCAACGCCGCGATGGGCTTACCACTCGCAGCGGCTACCTGGTACAACCTCTCCATGTTCACTCTATCGGCGCCACATGCACCCGAGGCCCGATCTTTCCTGCCGTCCATCAGCAGCGGGGCCGTCTCGAAGGCCGCCAGCTCCTCCCTCCCCTCCTTGGTCATTTGCAGCACCGTCCTGTTCCGGCGCTTGAAGCACGCATGATCCCGCTGCTCCCAGGTGCACTGCGCCATGCCTTTCGTGACCTCCAAAAAGCGATCAGCATCCTGCCTGTACTCCGCCTGCCGCTCCTTCGACAGCCCCTCTTTCTCACCGTGCCACCGGTGCACGCGCCGGAGCACGGCCACGTCCTGGAACGTATCGCGCACGAAACTCCTATTATTCACTAACCTGTCCGTGCTCCAGGCGTCGTCGGGGGTCCGCTCCGCCCCCCTGGGCTTGTTTTTCGCAGACCCCCCATACGCGCCCATCCGGTACAGGGGGTCATCGCCGATTGGCGGCGCCTGCTGCGGATCCCCGGCGAGCACGGCATCCTTCCCGCCGAGATACACTGGCCTCGCACCTTGCGCCGCGCGCTTCGCCGCAACACCAAGAGTATCCTGTACCTTGAACTCGATCTTGCCCAGCATCTGCCGCCCGATCATGCTCATCTCATCCAGCACACCGAACGCCCTGTGCAGGGTGGTCGCGCCATATTTCAACTGGAACGAGGCGCACCCGGTAGGAGCGGCGAGCAAGCAGCAATTCCGCTCCTCCTCATCAATCTCTTCAGGCCCCCGCCCCCGCCCCCCTTGGCTGGCGCTCCGTGGCCCTCCTCGCCTGCCCGGCTGCCCGCTCGCAGTGTCCCGCCGCCCTCGGCTTCCCGCCTTTCGGCGTCCGTCGTCGGTCGATGGCGTCGCCCCCGCGGCTGCAACGGGGCGGCTCTGTTCGCTGGCGGGGGAGCTGGGCGACGGCCCGACCGCTCCAGCACGACCCCACATTTCCCGATGTAGCCACACCGCGATCCACAGGCATTTGTTTGCTGTTGTGTTGTTCGTACCTGTTCGTTCGTTCGTGTGTCTGTCTGTCTATCTGTCTGCCTTGTGGCTGACCGTCTGTCTGTCTGTCAGTCTGTCTGTCTGTTTGTTTGTTTGTTTGTCTGTCTGTCTGTCTGTCTGTCTGTTTGTTTGTTTGTTTGTTTGTTTGTTTGTCTATGTAACATGGTGCGCGCGAGGCCCTGCTCACGCATCATATTTTCACAAAAGGGTTTGTGGGGGGTGACATTGGCCAGTCGACAGTATGCTTGGGTCCGATTTCTCACCTCTTCGACGTTTACTTTCGCTTCGCCTCTTCGTGATATTCCTCTCTTTCTCCTTTTCTTTTGTGGCATACGCGTTTTCCTGTCCTTTCCAGCGAGCAGAATTGGACAGCCCTGTTTCCATCGCGTGTGTCCCCGCCCCCACAACACGTGGCCATCATCGTCATCGTCGTACCACCACCACCACCACCAGCACCACCACCACCACCACCATCATCATCATCATCATCATCATCATCATCATCATCATCATCATCATCATCATCATCATCATCATCATCATCATCATCATCATCATCATCATCAGCATCGTCATTATCATCATCATCATCATCATCACCGTCATCACCGTCATCACTGTCATCATCACCATCATCATCATCAACATCATCACCATCGTCATCGTCCGAATCGTCGTCCGCATCATCACCATCATCATCACCATCATCATCATCATCGTCATCATCACCATCGTTCTTCAACCAGGCTTGCCCAGTTGGTTTATTGAGTACGTGGTGCGGTATTTCGTTTTCGTGTGCTCCGCGACAGCGTTTCATTGTGTGTGTGTGTGTGTGTTTTGGTTTATTGGAGAGGCTTTCGGGTCGGTTCCGCTGACCCTGACATGGGGATCAAGAGGTCCTGGGAAAACAGCGAGGGAACCGCGGAGCGAACGAAGCGGCTTGAAAAATATTTCGAGATTTGTGAAGAGACAATACACCGTGCTACCTACATCTAATTGCTTTTGGCCCATCTCGCCACTGTGCCTGGGTCGTGGGCCAGAGGTCTTTTTCATGCACAATTGTCCCTTGTGTGGCCTCTTGGGGGGTTCTTTGGGACCTCGTGGGGATCTCCTGGGGTGCTCCTGGGGCCTCCTCTGGGCCTCTTGGGGGCCGCCTGGCGGTCTCGGGGTCCATTTCGAGGCGGAGGGCTCGACATGTCAGTTCGTGTTTCCCCTCTGGGGCCCCTCTTGGGAGCTTCTTGGGCTGTCTTGGGGCGATCTCTGGGGCCTCTCTTGCTGTCGGTGAGAGTTGGAAGAAGCAAGAGTGTTCAAATCCTTCACACACTTGTAGGATGTTGGCAGATTTTCTCCTCTTGGGGCCCGGGTGTGTGTCCACTTGGGGTCCACCTTGGGCCGTCTTGATGGTTTTTCTGGCCGTCTTGCTTCATCTTGGGCGTCTTGGAACTAGATGCTGAAAGAAGGGAAGGCCAATGTTGTCGGAATGATTTTCAACCATCAGGAGAAATGGGGGGAGCGTATCCTGACCAGGGACCTCGCCGGGACCCTTTCCAGATGCCCCCCCTCCCCTTGCCCCGGCGAGGAATGAATCAAAGGGAGAGGGTTTCCCTTCGAATCGATTACGACGTAGCTCCATTCACCTCGGGTTGGTGAGCTTGGAGAGGCAAAGGTGGCTGCGAGGGAATGGAGGACAAAATACGATTCAATGAGGGCTTCCCAGGATTGCATCAGAAAGACCGTCCTGGAATTCCACCGCACACTCGCGGCAGGGTCGCCGGATTCAATTGCACATTGCTGTCTGACCTTCATCCTCGCGCTGCTACATGCGCTTATGTACTTTCATGCGTGCACTTGTGTGCGGGATTCTGCGTGCTTATACATGTTTTTTTTCACCCATTCGTCCTCCAGTTTACCTCTAATATTTTTTTGTTGTTGCCCTCTTGCTGTCCTGCCTACTATGTTTTTATTGATCGCTTCGCTCATTCCGCTGGCCCTGGAGCGCTGTTTGGGGCCTCTTGGGGCCGTCTTGGGGGCTTCTTGGGGGCTTCTTGGGAGCGTCTTGGGGCTCCTTGGCGGCGTATTGGGCTCCCCTGGGGCCTCTTGGGAGGGCTCTTGGGGGCCCCTTGGGGCGGGAGAGGGGGTAGTCGTTGGCAGCCCCCCCCTCGGAGGGCACGATCCTCGTGAGGGGTGGCGAAAAATAGCCTCCCCCCTGGGGATCGCCCGGGGGTCAGCCGGCGATCGGCCGGGATACTTTTCGTCCGGGGCCCCCCAGGGGCCGCCCCGCGCGCGCGAACTAGAAATATTGTTAAGTAGTTACCGGAGATCTTAGCACGCCTCTGGCCCATTGGGCCGGCGAATTATTATCCTCTATTTTTTCATTCTTACAGTATGTGACCAAATCTGGCAAGATGATGAGCATGATGATGATGATGATGATGATGATGATGATGATGATGATGATGATGATGATGATGGTGATGATCATGATGATGATGATGATGATGATGATGATGATGATGATGCTGATGATGATGATGATGAGGATGAGGATGAGGATGAGGATGAGGATGATGATGATGATGATGATGATGATGATGATGATGATGATGATGATGATGATGATGATGATGATGATGATGCAAATGAAGATGATGACGAGATGATGAGGATGATGATGATTATGATGTTGATGATGATGATGATGATTCTGATGACAGGATTGATGACGTAGTATTAAAATATGGACTCGGCGGTGATAGCCAGTAGGTGGAAAAGAGGCCCAGCGGGAGAGGCGCAGGAGGAGGAGGAGGAGGAGGAGGAGGAGGAGGAGGAGGAGGAGGTGGTTGAGGAGCATTATTCTGGTTTGCTTCTGCATCGAAGGCACCTGCGGCGAATCACCGTCGCCCCCAGCCCTTAATGGAAACGCGAGGAATTTGTGGTTAAGAATTGGTGTAAGACTCGCCCCAGGGTGGTTGCAATTGAATTCCTAGAATTGTTGTCCGGACGACTAGGGGAGCACAGGATCTGGTATCATTTTGGGGCCTTCTTTGGCGATCTCGGGTACGTCCTGGGGCCCTCTGATAGTCTCGCGCCTCTTTTTTGACCATCTTTGGGTACTTTTGGGGCGTGAGGGGTCACCTCAGGCTGTCTTTGCAGTCTCTCTTTATTGTTGCGTGGACCGCGCTTGGGGCCCTCATGTGCAGTCTTTGGGCCCTAGTGAGGCCTCCTGGAAAGCGTTAGCCTGTTCCCTACGCGACAGGTCTCCAAAAGACAGGTTCCGCGAGCGGAGGCGTCAGGGAGAGGATTGGGGCGGCGAGTGGTGGCGGGGATCGCCACATCATGTGGGTGGTGTCAGCGAGGTGATATGGGGCGGGGCCAGACAACAGAGGGGGTGGGGTGTCCCCACCAGGATAGAGGCGCCTGGGGCAGGTTGGGCAAGTGAAGGGGCAGGGGACCCCCAAAGGACATCTCGCGAGCGGGGGCGTCAACGAGGTGATAGGTGCAGGGCTTGGAACTTGAGAGGGCCGGTGGGTTCACAAACAGAGGGTCATGCGGACCCACGATGCGCGCATGCGCGACGTTTGTAGTTTTATAGATAGGCTTCGCGCATTTGTACACCACCAACCATAGATGTGACTACGCAGACTCGTGGATGTGCATCAGGGACCCATTCGGAATCTAGCTTTGAGCTAACTGGTGGAGTGTTGACGTATTTCTTTCTACATGGTGCGCTCACGGACGCCGAGGGTTTGTTTCAGGAATCCGAGGGGGCGGTCACAGGGTAGTTGCTCAGGGCTTCGGGAACTATTGGGGCCGAAAGCAGAATATTCAGGAAGGGATTTCTAAATTAATGGCAGCCCACGATTTGTTGGTGTGTGTTCGTAGTCCCATTGGGCTCTAGCAGCATTTGCGACGGGTCATGAGCCTCGGCGCAGGTGCGGCCGCTTTGATCAGAGAAGGAAATGACAGGTGTCTACCTGGCATGCGGAGCTTGTCGCGCAGGAGTGCAGCGAACCAGAGAAGGGCAGGTCTGAGTCCAGCTTTTGGCAGACATGTGTATCGTTTTACTGTGTAGTGGTATATACGGTTACAGTATTATCTTGGTACATGTTGTATATTTGCACGCCTGTATGCATATGCGTATGTATAAATGTGTGTATGTATGTGTATCTCTCTCTATATATATATTTATATGTCTTTGTATATCTGTGTGTATACAAATGTATATATGCGCAGCCCCCTTCAGTACCCATTGATGTTCCGTCGGTGATTCGCGATATTCGCGTCTACTTTACTCTCCGTTCTCACTGCTCCTACTTTTCCATCTTCCCATCTCCCTTCTGAGCGCATTTTGTTCCGCTCGCACCCCTGCTTTTCCTCATCATGCCCACCTCATGCTCCCCCCGTACCACCACTCATCCGAAGACCCCCAACGTCGTGAGTTCTTGCTGACGTCGTCCCCCCCCTTCCCCGGGGAGCCTTGGGACTCATCAGAAACCAACGCCGTGAGTTTTTGCTGAAGTCGCCCCTGCCCCCCCCCGGAAGCTTTCGGCCCACGAGGAGGAGGAGGAGGAGGAGGAGGAGGAGGAGGAGGAGGAGGAGGAGGAGGAGGAGGAGGAGGAGGAGGAGGAGGAGGAGGAGGAGGTGACCCGATTCTCATCCCGGGCCACCTTCTGACGGCCCCTGGGGCCTGGCAGGAGCGCCCAGAGGCCGAGAACGGCCCCAAACCTCAGCAGTTTTTTTTTTTTTTTTTTTTTTTTTTTTTTTTTTTTTTTTTTTTTTTTTTTTTTTTTTTTTTTTTTTTTTTTTTTTTTTTTTTTTATAATATTATTATTATTTATTATTTTCTTGGTTGGTTGGTTGTTTGCTTGTTTATTTGCTTGTTGTTTGGTTTTGCGTTGTTGCGTTTGTTTGTCTGTTTGTTTGTTTGGCTGATTGGGTGGCTGGTCGGTTGGTTGTTGGTTCGGCTGTCTGTTTGGCTGTTTGCTTGTGGTGTTGTTTTGCGCTGTTTCGTTTTGTCTCGTTTTGCTTGTACGTTTGTTTGGCTGTTTGCTTGTTTGCGTGTTTGCTTGTTTGTTTGTTTGTTTGTGTGTTTGCGTGTCTTTGCTTTTGTTCCCGTCCCTCCTGCGTCGGGTTTTCGTTTTGACTAGGGCCTTGTGGTCGCAACTCCTCCCACCTCCCTCCCTCCCCCTCGTCCTTCCTGCCTATTATCTGGCCTGTATTTGCCTGCCAGCTCGCCTCTTATCTCACCGTGCTATGTGACCTCACCGTCTCTGAGGGGCTGCGAATTGCGAAACTTTCGCCAGTTTCGAGGGCTGTTGGGGGGTCCGGGATAGTGACGTCCTACGCAGATTTAGATTCGACCTCACCATCCTTGTGGGGCTGCGAACTGCGCCACTGTCGCCAGTTTCGAGGGCTGCTGGGGGGGTCCCGTAAAGTGACATCCTACGCAGATTCAGATCAGGCCTCACCATCTTTTGGGGGGCTGCGAACTGCGAGCACGTTGCCAGTTTCAAGGGCTGCTGGGGGTCGAGCAGTCCTTGCGTATTCAGATCAGACTTCACTATCACCGGGTGGCTGCGAATTGCAAAATTGTTGCCACTTTCGAGGGCGACTGGGGGATCCAGCATAGTGGTGCTGTACAAATATTCATAGTAGACCTCACCATCCTCATGGGGCTGCGAACTGCGCCATCGTCGCCAGTTTCGAGGACTGCTGAGGGGTCCAGTGCAGTGGTGTCTTACGCATATTCACACTCGATCTTCCCATCCTCGGGGGTTTGGGAACTGCGAAAGTGTTGCCTGTTTCAAGGGCTGCTGAGGGGTCCAGCATATGTGGCGCCCTACGCGGATTCAGATCAAACCTCTCCATCCCTGGGGTGTTTTGAATTGCGGAATTGTCGCAGCTTTTGTGGGCTGCTGGGGTCCATCGCAGTGACGTCCTACGCAGATTCACATTCGAGCTTGCCATCCGTGCGGGGCGGCGATCTGCGATGCCTTCGCCATTTGCGAGGGCGGCTGGGGTGTCCAGCATAGTGACGGCCTACGCGGAGTTAGTTTGGCCTTGATTTCCTTTCCTGCGGGCCGCTCGAAGACCTGGCGGCGTGCTTGCGGGCGTTTGGCTCCAGGACTGAAAGGTGCAGGAAGGAAGCAGAGAAGCTCGCGGGTGAGCTTCCAGATCGCTTTTTGCACTAGCTATGAACATTCTATCGTTTGGAGCGCGAAAGCAACATGGCCCCGGCCGCGCGCTTGTCCAGCGTGCCACTAGAAAATGATCGACCCCTCCTCATCCTGTCTTATCCGTAAGGGCTTCGCCCCCTGCCGCCGGCCCCCTCTCTCGGATAATGGGCAATGCAGGAGCGAAGTCATGAGGCCTTGGCGCCGCCGTGAAGCAGCGCTGGGACTTCACACGCGAAGACGATGAGTAATCGGCAAGACAAGTTGAGATTCCGATGGTATTGTTGAATGCGGTGTTGCATTTTGAGGGTTTATGGCTTCGGATACGCGAATAGCGCAGAATTTGCGAGGGTCTATTGCTTCGGGCTCGCAACTATAGCGTAATATACGCAGGTTTATGGCTTCGAAGACGCGAGTATGCGTAATTTACAAGGGTGTATGATTTCAGACGCGCGATCATTGCATAATTTACCAGAGTTTATGGCTTCGGGTCGCAACTATTGCATCATTTACGCAGGTTTATGGCTTCGGAGACACGAACATTGTGGAATTTACAAGGGTTTATGGTTTCGGGGACGCGAATATTGCGTGATTTGCTAGCGTCTGTGGCCTCGGGGACGCAAGTATTGTATAACTTATTAAGGTTTATGGTTTCGGGTAAACGATTACTGCGTATTTAGCAAAGGTTTATGATTTCGGGTGCGCGAATGTGGTGTAAATCGCGAGGGTCTATGACCTCGGGGACGCGAGTATGGTTTAATTTACGAGGGTTCATGGCTTCGGGGGCGCGAATTTCAAGTATTTTTATGTGTTCCACGCCCCCCCCAGGAAATCAGAGCACCCGATCCGGGCGTGGCAACTAGGTTCCTTTTCGGCCCCTCCCCTCGCGCGGTCCATCAACAAGGAACAGCAAGGAGCAAACAGCAGAACTGTAACAGAGGAAGCTGGAAGCTGGAAGTGGTGCAGGGAACAGCCAACCTTGGGCCTACAGCCTGGTGGCCCCACAATGGGGCCGGCGGATTGGTTGTCGTCCTCTTCCTCCATCCACCGCTTCACTGCTGCTGTCGCGGTAACTTTGCGGCCCCTCTTCCGTCCTCCTCTTGCCCAAAGTTCCCGCTCCGAATCCGTTTGCGAGTCTGGGGCCTCAGTCCTCGTCCTCTTGTCGCTCTCCTGTGAGTTGGGCGACGCGCGCGTCCCAATATAGCACGCGCAAACCAATGACAGATCCTGTTGTGTCATCGGGCATACCTTTCAGGATCGTTGCCTCTTGTCACTTAATGAAAATGGGTTGGGGTACGTCGCGGGGTATTTTCCCACGACGCGAGCGTGTCTGGGCCTCTATGCGCGTGCAAATACCATCACCGCTTGTAGGCTTCCCACATGGGGTCGGGGTAGATGGGGCGGAGGATCGCGCCGCATCGCCGACCGCATCGCCGATGCATCGGCGATGCGGCTCGATGTGGAACACTTTTTTCCCACGCCGACGTCGCCGATGCATCGCCGCCCGACGCATCGTCGATGCATCGACGATGCGGTGCAATCCTACGACCCCATCCGTTTCGACCCCATCTCCGCGGCCTCTACGTGTGCGTGCGGGTGTTGGCGTGGGCGCCGTCTCCCGGGCGTCGTTGCTTGCCGTGGCCGCGCGTTCCCTGGCATCAGGCGCGAACGCGGCCTACCGCGCGCTGCAGCGTGCCTGCCGGAGGGCCGACGAGCGGCCGGAGAGGCCCGCGTCCTGGCGGCCCCCCCGTCAGCTCTGCCGCTGCGCTGCCGTCCCGAATGGCTCCCGCCACTTGCAGCTCCACGTTGCACCCAGGCCCCGAGTACAGGTACCCATATCGCAAACCTCGCCTCGTTTTCGCCTTTTTGGGCCACCTGGGAGGCCCTCGTCGCCACTGCTGGCTTCTCCTTGAAATTCTGGTCATGGAGCACCCTGGGACAGGTCCAGGGAGTAGCGGTATTGGTACCGTTAGTTCCCCCACGGGCCGCCTGCCTCAGCCGTTTTCTAGCCTCTCCGTTCTCATGTCAGCAGTCGCCGACTCGCGAGGATGATCCACGAAGTGGCGCTTGGTCAGTCTTGGTCATGGTCCTCGTTTCCTCGCGGGCCAGGCCCCCAGGCCGCGACCCCGTGCATGCAGGGCGCCTCTGTCGTGGATGCCCCGCGCGGAACACGTCTGTGCGACCGCGTGCCCACGGCATCGCGCCTCGGAGTCGAGACCTCGAGGGCGCGGATGCGGGTTCGCCGCTCGTGAATACCGTCCCGAATGACTCCCGCCAACCGCAGCTTCGCGTTTCACCCAGGCTCCTCTCCTCGGCACTGTCTGACCCATCCATCCCCATCCCCACTGGGCCACGGTACCTCAGCCCCGCCAGCTCACCCTCACAGGTGGGCTTAGGTCCCGCGAAACCTGGTAGGAATAGCATCTGTCCCCAGTTGGGGGACTCAGTCGGCCAGTGGGACCAAGGCCATGCCAGTAGGTTTCTTTGTGGGGCAGGCGCCTCAGCATGTCAGAAGGGCCTGGAATCTTCTTGGAAGGCTCTGCAGAAGCTTGGATGGCTTCTAAGCCACATCCGTGGGCCGATGGGCAGATCAGTTGGAGCGGCCAAAAAATCAAGAGAATAACAACTACCCGCCCCGATAATTGGCGATTGCTACGCGGCCTTAAGCGTGTACCAAACAGCCCTGCCCTGTTCGAGTGCTTCTCTAGGTGCGTTTACCAAACGGCCTTGCTTGTCGGGGTGGTTATTATGGGGCTACATGTTTTGCCCTCTACAAGAGCGCAGCCGCCTGAGAGCATGGTGCAGAGCAACATGCGCGGTGCGCCCGCGCACGGGGCCAGACCGCGCCCAGACCGTGCTGGGCGCGCGCGCCCACTTGGCGAGAGGGCGTGCATCAAGGCGGCAGGCTCCTTGCGTTGGGCTTGGGCCCAAGATAGTGGTGGCGCGCCTTGCGGGGGCTTCTTAGCCATTCGGAGAGCATCTTCTGGACAGTCCCTTCTGCATCGTGGCCTTTGCCTTTTTTGAAGCCATGGCCAGTTGAGCGAAAGAGCTGCAACGCAAAAGACACTGATCAAATGGCTTGCTCCTTGTGCCTATATTGCAGCCACAGGAGGATGTGGTGGAAGATAGGAGGATGAGAAGAAAGAAGTTGAGGAGGAAGAGGACCAGGATTATGAGGAGACCCGAAGGTTTGTATGCGTGCCACTCGCGAACACCCAACTCATCAAAACATGTGCAGCACGAAGGACATTGAGGCCCCAGAGAGTGTCACGACTTATGCCGTTTGCTCCGCCATCTTGACCCCGAGCGAGGGAACACGCATCCAACGCAGATCTTTTTTGCCGATCGGAGGCTCGTTTCTCGATATTACTGACCCGCCCTGGACAGTTGATGTTGCTCCCCCGGATGCCTATGTGGAACATCAGGGTTTGCCTGCTTCTCGTGGTTTCCCCGCTCGCCGCCCTCGGCTGGCGCAGCCTTGTCCTCTATACAGATTTCCTCAGCCTGTGGTCTTTACGGGCGACCCTGCTTACCCGTAGCATTGGTGCCATGCAGTTTTGTCATGCGATGTTGAGGGCACGTTGTGCTTCATTCACTGCTGGCTGTGGTAGGTAGGGCACGCAAACAAAAGCGGCGACATGGCGGATGATGATGGGGATGACTGCGGGGATGAGGAGGTGAGAGCGTAACCACTTGTCCTCTCCTGCCCCCCCTCCCTCCCCTTGCCACTGCCCCTCCCCCCCCTTCCCTCTCCGCACGGGCTTTGGATGCTTGAGGGGCCACTGGCCTCTAGCTCAGATCGGCACCAGTTGCGCCTGTGCTGCAGGAAGGAGGCTGGAGGCGTCGACGAGGACAGCCAGGACGAAGGCAGGGCCCCCGGGCCCTCGCAGCTGCCTGCGGCTCGGCCCATCGTCGGCTGGCCTGGCCTGTGGTGGTCGTGATGGCCACGACAACCGTGCTAATTCTCTAGTTCTGCCAGGCGCTCTGGCCGCGGCACCCTCGCGAGTGCTTGCCGCCGTCGCAGTCCCGGTGGCATCGGCAGCGGTCGCAGCGAGGAGCAGCGCGGCGCGCGCGCGCGCGACCTCGGTGCAGCCCCCGGGGGCGAGCTGCCGGCAGGCTCGTGGCCCTGCTGGCCCGGCCGCCGCGGCTCTTCGTGCCCCGCGCAGGCCCGCGGCCGCCCGCGGCCGCCCGCGCCCTGCCCTCTCCGAGGGACCCAGGCCCCCTCGCGCTGTGAACACACCACGACGGGAGGTTTTCGCTGTGTTTGGCCCTTGGAGGCCCTCGCCGAGCCTCGGGGCCATCAGAAACGATCCAGGACGGGGGAAGGGGTCCAGACCTCTGGGTGTCGACGTCACGAAAAATTCATGGTGGGGGGTCTGGGTTAGCTGGGATGAGGCCCGTCCCAACCAAGCCCACCATCGGTGTGTGTGTGTGGGTCGCAGCACCAAGTTATGTGCACATTGGCACCGATCCTGGGCCCAGGAGATGGGCACGGCCAGTATGGTGGGCGCCCTCCAGTTGCCCCGTCTCGGGGGGGGCAGCGCTCAGGTTTGGGGGGACCCCAGAGGGTCAGGGGGAATGGGATCTGGAAAGCGAACCGTGATGTTGACTTTCTATTTCATTCCGGATCATGGACACGAGTAGCGAATGTGTGTTTGGAGGGAGGGAAGGACCATGCACGGGAGGGGCCTCCTCGCAGCATCGACGTTCCTATTTCGGTGAGGGTGGCCGAGTCTGGACGAGCAATCGAACATACACTGGCTGGACCAAGGATTAGGACCCACATCAATGCATACGGTGCTTCTTGACATCTCCCTAACAGAGCTGCGATGGTGGCTGCCAGCAGCCGCAGGAGCGCTGTTGCCGTCGCCACACACCTACCCACGCCCACGCCCGCCTTAGCGCCCACATCCACGCCCACTCCCACGCCCGCCTATCACGTCCGCTTCCGCGATCGCGCCTCTGAGTCAACGCCCCATCCCCCCCTTACGCATCCAGCCCCACTCCCATCCCAACCTACGCCCCCACCACCGTTCAACTCATGCTCACGTCCTTCCCCCCCTTTTTCTTCACATCCACACCCATTTTCGTTCCAGCCCCCATCCTCGCGCCCAGACACCTCCCCACCACCTCAACCCATGCTTATTGAAGATGCCTGCGGCGAATCACTGCCGCCCCCTGCGTTTGGGAAGCGCCTATGCGGTGGAATATTGTGGCCAGAGTTTGGTCACGTTATCGGACGTTTCCCCAGCCGTTGTGGAAACCCCTCGCGGAACATTTGGGGCAGGAAGAGGAAGCGGACGAGAGGGAGAATAAAGGAGGAGGAGGAGGAGGAGGAGGAGGAGGAGGAGGAGGAGGAGGAGGAGGAGGAGGAGGAGGAGGCTTTTTTGAAGACTTGGGGCCCCCTCGGGGCGCTTCAGCGCCGTCTTGGAGGTCATCTTCGGCGTCTTGGAGGTCTCCTGGGCCGTCTTGGGGCCCTCTTGGGGCCGTCTTCAGGGCCTCTTGGGCCGTCCGGGGGCCATATTGTAGACCTCTTGGGCGCTTTTGGGGCAACCTGGTGGCCTCTTGGGCCGTATTGTTAAGTCGGGCTTGTCCCTCTACACGGGGAACATTCAAAAATAGTGAAAAATAGTTGTGGGACTTTGTTTTTGACATATTTTTGTTATTTTTTGGGGGGGCATGTTTTTGAACATATTGTTTTTTGGGACATGTTTTTTGTTGTTATTTTTCGTCCACAATCCGCCTGTAGGGGGACATGCCCGACCTAACTGTAGTGGGTCATTCGAAAGCCGAACGCCGAAAGTAAGTAAACCCAAATCTTGCAAAACCCGCAAGTTCGGCAGCTTCGGGACTCCTTGGAGTTCCTCTTGGAGGCCTCTTGGACAGTCTAGGGCTATCCTGAAGCCACCTTGGGCCATCCTGGGAGCATCTTGGGCCGTCTTCGAACCATATCGGGGCCACACTTGGTTCTCTTTGGCATCATCTTAGCCGTCTTGGGGGAAATAGGAAGCCATCTTGGGTCATCTCGGCCGACTTGGAGGCGGGCGTTGTGGAGGTTTCCGGTCGTCTTGGACACGGCGTCGCGAGCGGCCGAGACCATGCTCGGAGCCTTTCGGACGAGCCCACCACACGCCGAGATTTGGCACGCCGCGCACCCCTACAGTGAGCGGCTTGAGTAAGGAACACTTGCTTTTCAAAAGGGGCTCGGTCGTTCCCGTATGCGTTATCCATCGTTCCGTATGCGTTTCTCATTATTTATCGTTCCTTATGCATTGTTCCTTGGAAAACAAAGGGGCTTCGTTCCCTATTTCTCGTTCCTTCGGTCAGGCCGATGGCTGTATGGCAAGGCCCGGGGGCGGCGCATCACTTGTGCATCGACGACGCCTACGGCGAATCGCCGCCGTCCTCTGCAATTTGGGGCAGACCTAGGTGGCCAAACGGTTGGGCAGAATTTGGCCGTGCCTTTTCATCATTCGTTCCCTCAGTCGTTGTGGGAGCCCTTCGGGGAACACGTGGGGGAGGAAGAAGAGGATGATGAGAGTGAGGAAAAGGGAGGAGGAGGAGAAGGAGGAGGAGGAGGAGGAGGAAGAGGAGGAGGAAGAGGAGGAGACCTCCTGGGAGCTTGTTGGGGCCATTTTTGGGGCCTCGTGGGAGCTGGGCCTCTTGGAGGCCTCTTGGGGGCTTCCGTGGGTCTCTTGGGGTCCTTTGGGGTCTTCTTTAGGGCCTCTCTAGAAGCTGTCTTATGACGTTCCTGGTCCGCCTGACGCCGTCGGACGCCGTCTTGGGAGCCTCTCTGGGCCGTCTTGGAGCCCTCTTGGGGCGCTTCAGCGCTGTCTTGAAGGCCATCTTGGGCGTCCTGGAGGCCTTTTGGGCGGTCTTGGGGGTCTTGTGTGGCTGTCGTGGGAGCTTCCTGGGCCGTCCTGGGGCAATCTTGGAGGCCTCCTGTGTAATCTTGGGGCCATCTTGGTGGCCTCTTGGGCCGTATTGGGCCGTCGGGGGGCCGTTTAGCAGCAAACGCCCCAATCCTTCAATCACCTCCAGCAAATCAATGATCTTTGCCTCTTCGGGCCTTCCTGGAGGACCTGTTGGAGGCTCCTTGGGCCGTCTTAGGAGCCTCCTGGGCGCTGCTTGAGCCGTCTTGGGCTCTCTTGGACCATCTTTGCGGTCTTGGAGGCATCTTGAGATTGTCTTGGAGGCTATCTTGGGACTATATTTCCCCACATCCTGAGTGGGGTTCTTGTTTTCCCAGAACACCCTCTCCTTCCCACCCACCTCCCGCTCCATCTTACATACAGCACAATATTATTGCTACCACACACACCATACCATACCATAGTTCCTACCACACATACCATACCATACCATACCATACCATACCATACCACACCATACGTACCATACCGTACCATACCATACCATGGCGTGCCCCTCCCACCCCTCCAGGGAGGCCCCGCCTGAGCGAGGAGGGTATCGGAATACCATACTATTTACATGGTTTCGTGCCCCTCCCACCCCTCCAGGGAGGCCCCGCCTGAGCGAGGAGGGTATCGGAATACCATACTATTTACATGGTTTCGTGCCCCTCCCACCCCTCCAGGGAGGCCCCGCCTGAGCGAGGAGGGTATCGGAATACCATACTATTTACATGGTTTCGTGCCCCTCCCACCCCTCCAGGGAGGCCCCGCCTGAGCGAGGAGGGTATCGGAATACCATACTATTTACATGGTTTCGTGCCCCTCCCACCCCTCCAGGGAGGCCCCGCCTGAGCGAGGAGGGTATCGGAATACCATACTATTTACATGGTTTCGTGCCCCTCCCACCCCTCCAGGGAGGCCCCGCCTGAGCGAGGAGGGTATCGGAATACCATACTATTTACATGGTTTCGTGCCCCTCCCACCCCTCCAGGGAGGCCCCGCCTGAGCGAGGAGGGTATCGGAATACCATACTATTTACATGGTTTCGTGCCCCTCCCACCCCTCCAGGGAGGCCCCGCCTGAGCGAGGAGGGTATCGGAATACCATACTATTTACATGGTTTCGTGCCCCTCCCACCCCTCCAGGGAGGCCCCGCCTGAGCGAGGAGGGTATCGGAATACCATACTATTTACATGGTTTCGTGCCCCTCCCACCCCTCCAGGGAGGCCCCGCCTGAGCGAGGAGGGTATCGGAATACCATACTATTTACATGGTTTCGTGCCCCTCCCACCCCTCCAGGGAGGCCCCGCCTGAGCGAGGAGGGTATCGGAATACCATACTATTTACATGGTTTCGTGCCCCTCCCACCCCTCCAGGGAGGCCCCGCCTGAGCGAGGAGGGTATCGGAATACCATACTATTTACATGGTTTCGTGCCCCTCCCACCCCTCCAGGGAGGCCCCGCCTGAGCGAGGAGGGTATCGGAATACCATACTATTTACATGGTTTCGTGCCCCTCCCACCCCTCCAGGGAGGCCCCGCCTGAGCGAGGAGGGTATCGGAATACCATACTATTTACATGGTTTCGTGCCCCTCCCACCCCTCCAGGGAGGCCCCGCCTGAGCGAGGAGGGTATCGGAATACCATACTATTTACATGGTTTCGTGCCCCTCCCACCCCTCCAGGGAGGCCCCGCCTGAGCGAGGAGGGTATCGGAATACCATACTATTTACATGGTTTCGTGCCCCTCCCACCCCTCCAGGGAGGCCCCGCCTGAGCGAGGAGGGTATCGGAATACCATACTATTTACATGGTTTCGTGCCCCTCCCACCCCTCCAGGGAGGCCCCGCCTGAGCGAGGAGGGTATCGGAATACCATACTATTTACATGGTTTCGTGCCCCTCCCACCCTCCAGGGAGGCCCCGCCTGAGCGAGGAGGGTATCGGAATACCATACTATTTACATGGTTTCGTGCCCCTCCCACCCCTCCAGGGAGGCCCCGCCTGAGCGAGGAGGGTATCGGAATACCATACTATTTACATGGTTTCGTGCCCCTCCCACCCCTCCAGGGAGGCCCCGCCTGAGCGAGGAGGGTATCGGAATTACGGTTTCGTGCCCCTCCCACCCCTCCAGGGAGGCCCCGCCTGAGCGAGGAGGGTATCGGAATACCATACTATTTACATGGTTTCGTGCCCCTCCCACCCCTCCAGGGAGGCCCCGCCTGAGCGAGGAGGGTATCGGAAAACCATACTA